TGGCCATGTTCCAGTAGAACTTAAGTTACAAAAACAGGCTGCAGTTTGCCAACTCCTGTCTTAGGGGAATCAAGGCTTGAGTCAAGAGATGTTCTGTGAAATTTTGATGCTTCTGGAGGGAAACTATTTCCTCATAGCTTTCTAAATTCTTTCTACTATACAAGAAAAGAACATTTTATCTACTTTTAATACTAAACTTTGTTTTCTATGTAAAAAGTAATTAGAAATACATGAAAAAAGGGGCACCTGGCTGGCTCAGTCAGTGGAGCATGGGATTCTTGATCCTTGAGGTGGTGAGTTCGAGCCCCACATTGGGTGGAGAGATTACTTAAAAATAAAATCTTTAAAAAATAAATACATGAATACATTTAACACCATTTAAAAATATATTTAAAAAATAAGCAACAAAGATATTTCTCTAAATGTTGGTGAAATAAAGCTCCATTTAGCAATTCACATATTTAAAAAAAATTCACATATAACATAGTAAGAATTTGGGCATGATCACTATTTTAAACCAGAACCACTATATATAAACCATATATACTAATTGGAGTAGGAGTAAGAACCCAAATAGGATGATTATCAGAATTAATTGAACTTCAGAATACTTGTGACAACATAGTTACCTTTTCTTAGTTATAAATGAATGGTTATAAATGAAAAAAACAACCTTAAATTGAAGTTAAATCTATTAGTAACTAAAATGGGAACGCCTTGATTCATCTCCTACAAAAAAAGTAAAAGGGGTTGGTGACACAATGAAATCCCCATTAATTAATTTCCTTTTGTAACATTATAGTCTTTGAGGATCAGTTCTTCCATTCTGTCATCATCCAAACAAAATATTGCCTTGTCAGTGTTGTTGAGCAGGGTGAGCATCTACCCACCCCCTCCACACACATTCTTCCCCAGCCTTCCATGCAAGTTTTCTGCTATATACTGTCTTGTTCTAAAAAACAAGTGGTTATGGATACCTTTGTCCTTTATAAAAGCTCTCTAGTTTTTTTCAACGAAGAATGAGAGGGTGATCGGGAACATATTATAGAAATAGCTTAAGGACATTAAGTAGGCATTTTCGTGATTCTTAATTGATAAATTTAGTTTATAGGTTTTCTTAGAAAAATACCAAGAAATTATGAACAATTCAGAATTTTCTCAGAATGGTCATAATTTCCCTAAGCTTAAATTTATTTTCTTAGCTAGACTCTTCAAAAATAGCAAATTAGTGGTTAAAAAGGGGGAAAAAGGAATTAAAATATTCATGGACCTTCAAACATTTTACATGAACAATTATTTTTTTTATTTTTTTTTAAAGATTTTATTTATTTGACAGAGAGAGACAGCAAGAGAGGGAACACATACCAGGGGAGTGGGAGAGGGAGAAGCAGGCTTCCTGCTGAGCAGGGAGCCCAGTGCAGGTCTTGATCCCAGGACCCTGGGATCATGACCCGAGCCGAAGGCAGACGCTTCACTAACAGCCACCCAGGCGCCCCTACTTGAACATTTATATAAGTTGTTGACATAGTAAAAAATTATCCTTACTGTCCTCCAACCCTTTGTTAGCAGTTTTTAATATTGCCTTATATATTTGGAAGTACTGAACTGAGTATCACACGGTTTAGACTTTCTAAGAATTTGCGTTGACCTTTCTTGTCAAAATTGATAAATATTTTGGCTTAACATAATTCCATGTCCCATGTTGACATACTATCAGATCCAGTACCTCAGATTTGATTCATTTTCTATTTGAGGGTGTTTTTTCATGCACCACCGTAAAGGGACAGAATCTTTGTGAAACTGCCCTGGAGGAAATAGGTAAAGCTTTCCTTTCTACAGAAAAATGTATCCATATGCTTTTAATTTTAATTTTCATCTTTTTGAAAATTTTACACTTTATTTTCAAAAAGACATCAGTGTATTAAGTGGTAGAGATCAGAGAGTAGCAATTACTATTGGCCTTTAAAATTGTTTACAAAGTATCTCATACCTGTTGATCAGTAGAATACGTTATATAATTCATACCAAACACCTGTGGTAAGAATTTTTTAAATGAAGACTAAAATTCTTTTTTGAAATAAGGATTCTTCTGGTTTATTTAAAGACAACAAAATAAAAAGCATTAAAATTTAAAATTAGAACAAATGTATAGAAACTAATACCTATACTACATACTTTGAACATATTATTTGAACAACCATTTTCATTCATTTATCCAACAAATGCCTTTCTATAATTTTGTAATAAAAGTTCTGACCAGGATTGCCCAAACTATTTGACACAAAGTCTATCTTTGTTCTCTTTTATTTTGAATTAATGAAGTTTTATATTAATATGTATTTCCATAAAGTATACTAAACTCAACTGCTTAAATTATAGCTATAAAACATTAGTTCATTTTACATTGCTTTGCTCATTATTTCTGTGTTTTAAAGTGCCATGTAATTTTCATGTTGAATAAAGGCTGACAATTTAATGCAGTGCTACTAATTTATTTATAAAATCAACAAAGTAAGTTTTGATGCTGCATTGCATGATAAAGGCTTTCTGCATATAATTCATGTTATGGTCTTGAGCATGAATCCAGAGATTTTAGATAGCCTTAATATTATTTTGGTGTGCTTTCAAAGTTAAGAATACAGAATATCTAACCTAAGTATATTTGAACATTACATTGCATGATAATGTCTTTTTTGCGTGTATTTTATCCAGCATAGTTACAAAGATTAATCTTATATCCTAAAATGAAAAATACTTTAGAATTCTTTCATGGTAAAGTATAATAAGTGTAAAGTATTAAGTCAAATATTTAAGTGTATTTTATTTAAACTAGAGAGGTTTGAAAGTGTGCTTAGGTTTTAAATATGTAACTATTATACTACTGTGGTACCTCATTTTAAATGTTGTATTTCTTCATAAGTTTCATCCTTAAATAGTTAAAGTGTGAGTCATTGTAGTCAAATTAACGTGAAAGAGCTTTTTTTGAGGCAGTGAATTTTTGAAGTGGGTATTGCAGAAAATCAGATACACTGCTATGAACTGACTGGGTTATCCCTCAGTGCACCCTTACCTGGGGTACTGGACCCAGGGCTACTACTAGCACATATGGTACCTGTGTGCAAATTGGAAAAACATGACCCTTTTCTTTGAGTTGATGCAGACGCATATCAAAGCAGGCAGATTCGTGATCACTGTGTTCACTGGATGGATTTTAGTCCTTACTTGTCCAGGGGTCAATTAATAGCTTTGATATCAATCATTATAATACATCAGTCATTATTCTACATGTAACATAGTAGTTTCCTAATGTTCCTATAGATGTTCTAACAAGTTGTCACCAGAGACAAGGCAGTCACGTGGGTCCCCATGCTGGGTCTGCGACAAGGTTGAACTTGGGAAGAGAGTAGTTAGACAGGTGCCTTTTCTATTTCAAGGACCAGCTAGCTGGGAAGAAAATGACTCTACCAATTACACGTTAGTGTTCACAAACACACACTTTTGTTGCCTTTTACCCTTTTATGATTTACTTTTCCTTTCTGGGTTGTCCTTAATATTTATTTCATCCTGATTTTCTTTGCATAAAATGGTAAGAAGTCATATAGTATAATTTGTCTTAGTCTTCCTACTCTACAAGTATGGCCTTAACTGTTGCTATAACATTGTCCTTATTTTTCCTTCTTATTTTTTGCATCTCTGGTGATTCTCCACCCTTTTTCTTTCCCAGGTCCCTTCTCCTTGTGAGACATTTGAGGCATCCTACATCTGCCTTCCATCAATCAAAAGAAAATCTTTTCCCATTTACAAAAACTCACTTTACAGTGTCTTCTCTCCCTTAGCTTAGCCTTCTAGGCCACAGAAACTGTTTTACTTGTATATAAACACATATAGCATCTTAAATTACTTACTGGAACACATTTGACAACTTTTATCTGCTTCTCCCTATGTTCTTTTTAGCTTCAGACTTCTACTAGAATACAGATAAGTTCCAAGTTACAGTTTCTTGTTTATGAAAACAGAAATAGATCAAATTAAATGGTTATATCAAATGTATATGTGAACAATATATACATATACATGTGTTTTGTGCTTTTATTCCTTAAAAAGGACTTAATTTTAAGTATTTTAAAATACCCAGAAACAATGCAGACATGTTAATGGTGACGTCTGTGTACAAAAGGAATAACAGATCAGTTTTCCATAGTTAAAGAAAAGTACCTGTCATTGTGAGGATATAAATAGAGGATTGCAGGATGTTTGTGGTTTTTAAAAAAGCTTGAAGTTTTGTAAATCCTTTGAATTAAATCAAAATTCAAAAGTGAAAATCCTTTTTATTTACATAAGGATTTTAAGTTATGAATAGATAAATCTGTTAAAGAGTAATTTTTTTAATTCTCAAATAATCTTAGTTAATATTTATTGAGCACTTACTACATGCCAGGGGCTGTTCTAAGTGAATTATGTGTAGTAACACTCTTCAACTCACACAGCCTGGTGAAGTACTAATATAGCAAGTGGCAGACCTAGGATTTTAACTCAGAGCCCACAATTCTTAACTACTCAACTTTACCACCTTACAAATAAGCAGTTTAACTTTTTATACTATCTCCTTGAGGTGACCATAACCTAATAAATACATTAACATTAGTTGCCCTGTTCTTATTTCATATTATAAATTTTTATTGCAATGTAACATAGGTGTTCATTCTAACAAATAGGTGTATTTCTAAACATGGGCTACAGTGTGCTTTAGAGAGTCCACACAAACTTAATACCACTAAAACAGTCTGTTTTTTAGGATAATTACTAAAATTAGAATTAAAAGTGGTAATACCTAAATATTAAATAATCTATGATATATTGTAAAACATTTTAAGTGGATACTTAGTTAAGGCAATTAGTTTACTATAGTTAATATTGTTGACACGCTTTTTTTCTCTTAGATTGGCAATCTGTGAAATATGCCTTGTACTTATTCTTCATTGTAACATTCTATGGCATAGATTTCCTTGCTGAAACAGAATCTGGAGATGCAGCTTTCCCAATCTCAGACTTCTCTGCAGCAACTGCAAGCCCAGTTTACACAAGAACGACAACGACTTACCCAAGAGCTTGAAGAATTAGAGGAACAACATCAACAGAGACATAAATCTTTAAAAGAAGCACATGTCCTTGCATTTCAAACTATGGAAGAAGAAAAAGAAAAGGAACAAAGAGTAAGTTTAATGTGATATATGTTCAAAGGTAATCCAATAGCCTAATAATTATTAGCCTTCAAATTCTTAAGAATTCATTTTTTGCCTCCAAGTTATATACTGCTTCATTTCATTGTGTTTTCTAGAATCTGCCTTCTTGTGGGGGTCAGAATGACTAAACATACACACCAGTTACACAGATTAAGACCAACATTTTTTTTCTGTTTCCCGACATAATGCTGAGTTCATGATGAGACTAATACACCATCTGGTTTGTCATATATTTAACAGTGGTTAAATAAATTTAGCATGGTCCTACTAAGCTGTAACCACTGTAATTAGTACAATTTTGAACTTTTATAATAGTTTTTCATCAAATTTTTAATTTTTCTCTTTCGGCTGGATCTAAAAAAGACACATATATATCCAAGGGATTTATATTTTTTTTATCCCACATTTTTTAACTTACACTTTTTCCCCCTTATATACAAAGTTCACAATGAAATGAAATTTGGAGACAATTTTAAAATAGTACCTTTCCCTATATACAGCCCCAAAGGCTATGTGAAAAGTAGTGATACAGACAGATCATGTAGAAGAGATTTCAATCAAATAGATACATTATTGGGTTAATCAAATTGTATGCCAGAATCTCCCCATATCCAATACTTCCTTCTCTGTGAAAACACTAGTTTGACATAGTCTTAGTGTAATTAATTTTGGTTCAATTTATTTCTTTACACCATATTTTTCAATTTCTTCTAAGGACCTTATGATAATTAAGGTAAAGATTTGATAGAAAAATGCAGTTTTACTAACAATGATTTTCACCATATATAGTTATTACTGATATAGGTTGCTTCAATCTTTTATTTGGGTATGGACAACTATTTTAAGAACTGGTAGGCCATAAAGAAATTGTTAAAACAAAAAAGTCATATTCCTTTAAAAACCATTAACTTGCCTATACAATAAGTTGTAGTCTCTCTTTTTTTTTTTTTTTACTTTAGTCTCTTGATCTTGTCCAGAAAGTTAAGGAAGTTTCTTTGGTCAAAAATTAGGCCTTATTTCCATTATCCCTGATGAGTATAGTTACAGAAACTGTTAACAAAGTATCAGTGAACCAAATTCAACAATACACTGAAAACATCTGTCCACCATGATCACATGGGTTTTTTTCCAGGGATACAAGGATGGTTCAATATCTGCAAATCAGTGTAGTTGCTACATTAATAAATGAAGGATAAAAATCACATGATCATCTCAATAGATGCAGGAAAAGCACTTGACAAAATTCAACATTCGTTTATGATAAAAACTCTCAACAAAGTGAGTACAGATAGAATATGCCTTAATGTAATAAAGGCCATATGTGACAAACCCACAGTTAACCTCATACTTGACAGTGAAAAGCTAAAAGCTTTTCCTCTAAGACCAAGAACAAGACAAGGAAGCCTGCTCTCGCCACTTGTATTCAGTGTAGTATTGGAAGTCCTAGCCACAGCAGTTGGACAAGGAAAAGAAATAAATGGCATCCAAATTGATAAAGAAAATGTAGAACTATCACTACTTGCAGATGACATGATACTTTATACAGAAAACCCACCATATTAAGAGAAAAGATAAGAACTGTATGATCATTTCAGTAGATGCAGGAAAAGCATTTGACAGAGTACAACACTGATTCACATTAAAAACCTTCAACAAAGTTGGTGTAGGGGAAACCTACCTCAACATAATAAAGGCTATATGTGAAAAACCCACAGCTAACATCATCCAAAATGGGGAAAAACAGAGCCTTTCCCCTAAGGTCAGGAATAAGACAAGGATCTCCGCTCTCACCACTTTTATTCAGCATAGTACTGGAAGTCCTAGCCACAGCAGTCAGACAACAAAAAGAAATAAAAGGCATCCAAATCGGGAAGGAAGAAATAAAACTTTCACTATTTGCAGATGATATGATAAAATACATCCGATACTGTATAGAGAAAACCTGAATGACTCCACCAAAAAACTGCTAGAACTGGTAAATGAATTCAGTGAAGTCACAGGATACAAAATTAATGTGCAGAAATCTCTTGCATTTCTATACACTAATAATGAAACAGCAGAAAGTGAAATTAAGAAAACAATCCCATTTGTAATTGTACCAAAAATAATAAGATACCTAGGAATAAACCTAACCAAAGAGGTGAAAGACCTATACTTTGAAAACATTAAAACACTGATGAAAGAAATTGAAGAGGACACAAAGAAATGGAAAAGCATCCCATGCTCATGGGTTGGAAGCAAATATTGTTAAAATATCTATACTGCCCAAAACAAGCTACACACTTCATGCAATCCCTATCAAAATACCAACAGCATTTTTCACAGAGCTAGAACAAACAATCCTAAAATTTGTGTGGAACCACAGAAGACCCCAAAGAGCCAAAGCAATCTTGAAGAAAAAAAAAAAAAAAGCTGGAGGCATCACAATTCCAGACTTTAAGTTATGTTACAAAGCTATAGTGATCGGAACATTTTAGTACTGGCACAAAAATAGACACACAGATGAATGGAACAGAATAGAAAATCCAGAAATAAATCCACAATTATATGGTCAATTAATCTTTGACAAAGCAGGAAAGAATATCTGATGGGAAAATGTCTCTGCAACAAATGGTGTTGGGAAAACTGGACCACTTTCTTACACCTTACACAAAAATAAATTCAAAGTGGATTAAAGACCTAAATGTGAGATCTGAAACCATAAAAATCCTAAAAGAGAGCACAAGCAGTAATTTCTCTGACAATGGCTGTAGCAAATTTTTCTAGATAGGTTCCTTGAGGCAAGGGATACAAAAGCAAAAATAAACTCTTGAGACTACATCAAAAAAGGAAGCTTCTGCACAATGAAGGAAACACTGAATAGGAGAAGATATCTGCAAGTCACATATCTGATAAAAGGTGAATATTCAAAATATATAAAGAACTTATATAAATCAACACCCCAAAAACACATAATCCAATTAAAAATGGGTAGGAGACATGCACAGACATTTCACCAGAGATGACACACAGATGGCCAACAGACCCATGGAAAGATTCTCAACATCACTTATCAGGGAAAGCAAACCAAAACTACAAGGAGGTATCACCTCACACCTATCAGAATGGCTAAAATTACCAAGACAGGAAACAACAAATGTTGGCAAGGATGTAGAGAAAGGGGAACCCTCTTACACTGTTGGTGGGAATGCAAACTGGTACAGCCACTATGGAAAACGGTATGGAGGTTCCTCAAAAAGTTAAAAACAGAACTACTCTACAATCCAGCAGTTACACTACTGGGTATTTACCCTAAGAATACAAAAACTAATTCAAAGGGATACATGCAGCCCTATGTTTGTAACAGCATTATTTAAAACAGCCAAGATATGGAAGCAGCCTAAGTGTCTATCGATAGATGAATGGATAATGAAGGTGTGGCATCTGAGTAATGGAATATTACTCAGCCGTTAAAAAGAAATGAAATCTGTCATTTGTGACAACATGGATGGACCTAGGGGCTATTATATTAAGTAAAATAAGTTAGAGAAAGGCAAATACTGCATGATTTCACTTACACGTAGAAAATTTTAAAAGCAAAACAAATGAACAAACAAAACCTAAACCGACTTATAAATAGAACAAACAGGTGATTGCCAGAGAGGAGGAGGTAGGGGGATGGGCAAAATAGGTGACAGGGATTAAGAGGTACAAACTTCCAGTTATAAGACAAGATATGGAGATGTAGTCAGTAATATTGTAATAACTTTGGTGACGGATGGTAACTAGAATTACCATGGTGGTCATTTCCTAGCGTTCATCAGTGTTGAATCACTGTGTTGTACACCTGAACCTAATATTGTATGTCAACTGTACTTCAATACAGCCCATAAACACACAATGAGGCCTGATTGGTAAATAACCTATTCATTGAAATCATTTGTGAATTAGAACACATAAGCTCTTGTATCAGTACTTTAATTTTACACAGTCTCTTTGAAACCTGAATCCTGTTCAGAAGAAATCAGAGCATGCAATTTTATTGTTGTCATTAGGTAGCCAAGCTATCTATGTAACTAATGTCTAAACTAAAAGTCCTTTATATTGTTATATTTAAAGAAACCTGTGGCTTTTTTTAAAAAGATTTTATTTATTTCTTTGACAGAGAGAGACACAGCGACAGAGGGAAAACAAGCAGGGGGAGTGGGAGAGGGAGAAGCAGGCTCCCCGCTGAGCAGGGAGCCCCATGCAGGGCTTGATCCCAGGACCCTGGGATCATGACCCAAGCTGAAGGCAGACGCTTAATGACTGAGCCAGCCAGGCACCGCAGAAATAAAACACTTTAGAAACAGTGACCATAAGTAGCCAAATATTAATTTATAAAAACTGTATTTTAGAGTAATGGTTAAAGAAATATAAACCTAATTACAACATGGTATCTTTCTCAGAAACCCTTCATGTTGCAGATTATGCCAAGGAAAACCCATCCTGGCACAGTTCAGTCTCTAAACTTGAAGTACCCTGAGCTCTCTTTTTTCCCTTAGCTTCTCTTAGTCTCAGCCACATGTAGTCCATTTTCTCAGGTCAGGCTTTTAGAACTAATCACATGAGAGGTTTGTTTACTTTTCCACTTACCTACTCTCACACTTTTACTTCTGTTGAAAATGCCTACAGAAAATTGCAACAAAATATTTGATAAGGTTGGAGTTGTAAAAGCCATCATCATCTCTTTCTGATCAGAAGATCTTTTCTTGTTAATGCCCCTCTCCTCTCTTCTCTTTCCTAAATTTGTGCACACAGGGAAATTATGCATTAATTTAGGTGGCTTACCCCCCTCAGCAACTTGACAAGGACTTTTTTTGAAAACTACCTTAGATAAAGGGCCCACCCATATCCCAATTCAGACACACTATATTGAATCAAACTGATTTCAAAAGGATTGTTCTACTGAAGTGACCCTACTAATTTATTTTCTAAAGGTCATTATCTTATAATTTTCTTGAAAATGAATTACAAATGCCTTGTTTTTCTTAAATAACTGAGTTTTAGTAATTTTTTATTTTATTTGCATTTTCCTTCCTGTATTCTAGCATAATAATTTGAGTATGTTTCTCCTGTTTTAGGCTCTTGAAAATCATTTACAACAAAAACATTCTGCGGAGCTTCAGTCATTAAAAGATGCACACAGAGAGTCAATGGAGGGCTTCCGGATAGAAATGGAACAGGAACTTCAGACTCTTCGGTTTGAATTAGAAGATGAAGGAAAGGCTATGCTTGGTATTTTGAAAGGATTACAATATTGTCATATTTATCTGTATGTTCTACTTTAAAATTCAATAGGAAATCACAGCTTTATTTTTAATTTTTGAAACACCAAAACGAATAAGTGTTTTGTATATTTGAAGTTACCAAATGAAGAGGTGAGGATGGAGGAGTAGAACGGATAGAACAGAAACAGTGAGGTGAGGTCCCCTCACCTTTCTCCATACTCTGGCTATGTAAGCAACACTCACTGGTGCTGCTACCTACCACTGAGTCCCACTAAGGGACTAAATGGAGTCAGGACATTCAGACTTTCCACTCTCCAGTGACTGAAAGAAGTAGATAGGCATGGAGCCAACATGTCCTTAGACTTGACAGTCATATGTTTATTTTCCACTTCAGGATTTTGTTTTTAGGAGAAAACTCATGTTTAGGTCTGACTTTTTGTCTAGGTATTTTTCAGATATTTCTTTAATAGGATTTTAATCTTTGAAGTATTCAAATTACTGCCCTTTTTATAAGGAGATCAGTTGAGGTTTAAAGAAAAACTGTATATATATTTAAAGAGTGTTTGGAGGTTTTTTTTGGTGTTGTTCAATAACTTTTTATTCCTGCCATCTCATTTTCCTTTTGTTTGTTTTTTTTTCCCCCTAATTCTCTTCAGAGTTTTTATTGTATGTTGTCACATTTCAGGGGTATACCCTTTCCAAGTAGGAATTGGGAACAAAGAAGACCAAAGTGTTGTGGATACTCTGGGCCCCAAAGGCAAAGCCACCTGACACAGTTCATTGTCTCTACTATTGCTGGGAGCCCTAGGCCAAGTCATCAGAACTCTCTCCTCTTCCTCCTTTACCAGCCACTGTGATAGCTAGGGTGAAAATCATAGTGAGACTATATATCAGACATTTGTGGGATACCTCTTCACATGCTACAGAAACTGCTGAGCAAGGAGAATTGTTGCTCTGTATTTATATAGAAGGAGCTTATAGTCAAATGCAGAGGTAGTCTGTAAAATTCTGGTCCAAGGGACCACAGACTTTCCCCAGCTGTGTGAGGAGAAGTAAAAACAGGCCAAGTGTTAGCACTATTGTTTAGTATTATTGTTTAGTCCGTTGAAACTTGATTTCAATACCTCTTTATTGGCAAAAAGGACTTTTAGTGATTTTTTTAATTAAACTTTTTTATTCTGAGATAGTCGTAGATTCATATGAGCTTGTAAGAAATAATACAGAGAGGGCGCCTGGGTGGCTCAGTTGGTTAGGCAACTGCCTTCGGCTCAGGTCATGATCCTGGAGTCCCGGGATCGAGTCCCACATCGGGCTCCCTGCTCAGCAGCGAGTCTGCTTCTCCCTCTGACCTTCTCCCCTCTCATGCTGTTTCTCTCTCTCTCTCTCTCTCTCTCTCAAATAAATAAATAAAACCTTTAAAAAAAAAAAGAAAAAGAAATAATACAGAGAGATCCTCTGAACCCTTTGTCCATTTTCCCCAAAACTACAGTTCATACTACAACCAGGATATTGACATTGACACTGTCAAGACCTAGAACACTCCCATTACCATGTGGGTCCCTTGTTGCCCATTTTATAGCGACACCTACTTCCCTTTCCTCCCCACTTTTAATTCCTGGTAACCATTAATCTGTTACCCATTTCTATAACTTTGTCATTTAAAAAATGTTATAAATGTAATAACGTGTAACCTTTAGGGGATTGCTGTTTTTCACCCCTCATAATTCTCTAGAGAGTCATCCAGGTTGTTGTATGTATTAGTAGTTTGTCCCTTTTTATTGCTGAAGGTCAGTTGTTGTCCTTCACCCACTGAAGGACATCTGGTGTTTTCAGTTCTGTGTAACTGTAAATTTTCATTTCTCTGGGATAAATGCCTGGGAGTGGAGTTGCCAGGTCATATAATGATTGTAGGTTTAGTTTTCTTTTAAGAAACTGCCCAACTGTTTTCTAGAATGGCTGTACCATTTTATATCCTCACCAGCAATGAGTGAGTGACAGTTTTCTGCCACATCCTTACCAGCATTTGATGTCACTGTGTTGTAGTTTAGTCATTCAGATAGGAGTGTGGTATTATCTCATTGTGAATTTTACTCTGCATTTCTCTAATGGCTAATGATGTTCAACATGTTTTCATGTGTTCATCTGCTATCTGTATATATTTTCTAACTGGATTGCTTGTATTTTTACTGTTGAGTTTTGAGAGTTCTTCATGTATTCGAGATACTTAGTCCTTTGTCTACATTTTGCCCCCATTATTCCATTGAAATTACTCTCCCTGAGGTCACCATTGAACTTTGAAATTCCACTGCACTCCCACTTTTCTGATCCCTGCTCTTTAATCTCATGTGCTAGTCCTGTTTCCCATGCATCTGTTAAATATTGCTGTTTTCCCAGGATTTAGTCCCCAGCCCTCTGGTCCATTTTTTGGTCTTCAGGCTTTTCCTGGTTGATTGGATTCACAACTATGACTTCAACTACCATCTATTATGCTAGTGACGCCAAATACTTATTTCTAGACCAAACTGCTTTCCTTGTGAATTAGATTTCTATTTTTTACTGCATATTAGAAAGTTAGATATTCTAACTTATACTCTATATTTTTAAATATTAGCTCACCATCTCCCTCAGGTCCAAAATGTGTTGCCATTCCTGTACCTCCCATTTTAATTGAGAGTATTACTGTTTACCCAGTTGCCCAAGCCAGGAAGGTAGAAGATGCATTTAACTTTTTTTCTTTTACTTCCACATCCTGTTAGTTCCTTCACTTAAATATTTCCTACATCTGTTCCCTCTTCTTTAGTCCTTTTGTCATATTCGGTTCCGGGTCATGTCATTTTTCACCTGGGTTATTGCCATAACCTTCTCGTTGATCTTTTTCCTGCAGTTCACCCTCCAGACTCCAGTCTGGCTAATCTTTGTAAGACTCAAATCTCACCATGGAACTTCCCAGCTTTAAATCCTTCAGTGACTCCCATGTCCTACCTCAGTGCCTGTCAAGTTTTTCCACAGAAGTAGCCTTACCACAGGGAGACTGAACTTACGCCCCCTACATGGAGGTCTCAGGAAGAGCCTAAAATGACTAGTTACAAGCACAGCATTTCTTTGAAGTTGTCTCATGTTTTATCTTTAAAATGTACAATTTGCATTTTACTCATATCTCCTTTGTATTAACATGAAATTAATGGCTTTCCCCAAAATCTTCAAGTACAATTCATGTTTCAGAAGATGATCATGTGTACTCTAAAAGTCCCTCAGACATACTGCCACACATATCCCAGATTGAGAACCATGAACCCAAACGTAAAGTCAAAAGCATTTTGTGCTAAAAGTTTCTCAGACTGGGCTCCATTTTCTTTCCACTATGACCACATGCTCTGTGGGCACCCACCACGCCAGTCTTCTTACAGTTTACCTGATAGATTTGGTTCTTTCTGCTTTTGCATGTTATCCCTTCCTCATTAATGCTTTTCTCTTTCTCCACTTGGGAGAACCCTTACTCAGTGCGTTAGACTGAGTTATTGTGACAGTTCCTTTGTGATAGCATTCCCAGTTTCCTTCTAGGAAATTTGGGTGCTTCCACCACTGTGTTTTCAATTCATCTCTGCTATCCCACTTAATTCCCTGGCTTGATGCGTTTCCCTCTAGCCTGTGTGGTTATTAGAACAGGGTCATATTTTGTTCTCCCTTAGTGTAGTACCTGGCATTCAATAAATGTGGTTTGTGTCAAATAATCTCAGATTCAAATAAAAATCATGACTTAAAAATCAAAGCATTCACCAGCCAGTGTTTAACATCTTTCAGAACTACTGTGGAAGAATTCTTACCTGGGTGGGAAGTTGCTTCCTAAATGAAAATGTTATGGTACTGTTCAGTTCTAAAATGTTACTATTCCAATAGCGAATTAGAAAAGTTAAAAAACATTTTGTCTCCATTCGTACCTTACTGGCAAACCAAAAGCATATATGGAAATACCTTGATCCATCTGAGCAGATGAAAATTTTCTTATCCTTACAAAGCTAGATGACCTCTAAATTCATGATGTTCTATGATAGTCTAGGATATTTTAATGGGCATACACAAGTGTCCTAATTTAAAAAAATACTATTCTGTGACTTTTATAATTTTTATGTAAAAGTATCAATAATATTTCTAAAATACACGAAAGGTTTTTTTTTCCTCTTGTATTCCAGCTTCCTTACGCTCAGAACTAAACCATCAACATGCAGCTGCAATTGATTTGTTACGGCATAGTCATCATCAAGAATTGGCAGCTGCTAAAATGGAATTAGAGCGAAGCATAGACATCAGCAGAAGACAGGTAAAGAAGAACATTCTGTTACGTGACGATTCCTTAAATGGAATAGATTTGAATGTTGACCGTTTCCTGAAAATTATTTTGTAATAACTAGTATTTTCACTAGTTATTATTTACCATCTATATTTAAGAGTCTTATTTTTAAAGGGAAATAGGTAACTTGACTCTAGCATATTGGTCATAAAATTACATTTTATGAATTTTTAATTGAATATTTTGAATTTTACTTGCATCTTGAGAAGGTGAACAATGAAATATAAATAACACGAAGAGTGAAGGCAGAATACTATGAAACAGCACGGTCTGTAGAACTTTCCAAGATGATGGACCTGTTCTATATCTGTGCTATCCACTATGGTAGTCACTGGCCACATGGCCTTAGTCTAGTGTGACTATGTGTCTGGTTTGCTTAATTTTAAATAATTTAAACTTGAATTTAAATAGTCATACTGGATAGCATACTATAGAAGTAGCAGGTGCTCAAGAAAAAAGATAACTGATATTTGCACATCACTCTAGCATAGCTACTACTTACGCTTTTTAAACTTTGCTCTTTGGACAAGTATGCTTCCTTCAATTAGTTTATGATCTAAAATGTCTGGATGGATGGATTTCTAGACATAGTGCATGAAGGCCATCATTTGTTAGACTTTAGCTATGTTAAATGATCAGCTCAAATTTTCTCTTCATCGCTATGAAGTTTTAAATGAGTCACTTTATAACCATGGAGGGAAATTATGTTTTCTTCTAACTAGGCTGACGCTGAAATTGACAATGTGTAGATAGACGTGGTAGAAAACAGTGACTTCTAGGAAAATGGAAGGGAGCTTATCTTTCAGACAACTGTAACTGCCATATCAACACTAAGCGGACAGTCTGCTTTCTAAGCCATAGGGTGGGTATGTGTGCGCGTGCATGTGCCCTCGCCTGCTGGGATAGCCTCCCTAGATGCAGGGCCTTTTTAAATGAAAGGACAATGGTGCCAGAATTTTATTGTAAGCCCATATAACTTGGTGAGTATGTAGGAGCCCTGCATTCTAATCTCAGCTCTGCTGTTTATATAAATCATCCTTGGACAGGTATCTCTTGGGTATTGGTTTCCTCATCTGTAAAGTGTGTGGGAGATGTGCTTTTATGGTCTTTTGGGCCTCTTGTCACCCTGATATTATCCATATAAACACTTCTTACAGATGGGAAGGGAAGAGGCCTTTAGGTTTTATTTCAGCAGTTTGCAAGCAATGTCATCAAATTGGACATTCTGTGTCATTTTCTTTCCCTTAGATAAATGCAGAAAGCAAATACTAGAAAACTTTTAAGAATTATTTGTAGGGTATCTAGCTTGCTCTGTCAGTAGAGCATGTGGCTCTTGACCTCAGGGTCATGAGTTCAAGCCCTGCACAGAGGTTACTTAAAAAAAACTTTTTTGTACTTTGCAGAGTAAGGAACATATGTGTAGAATAACAGATCTACAAGAGGAATTAAGGCACAGAGAGCATCACATCTCAGACTTGGATAAGGAGGTACAGCACCTTCATGAAAATATAAGTGCCCTAACCAAAGAATTGGAATTTAAGGGGAAAGAAATTCTCAGAATACGAAGTGAATCTAACCAACAGATGAGGTATGCCATTAATTACAAAAGAAGGAATATACAGTGTTATCTAAAAGACTGTTGTATAGTAGTTAGCAATACATGCCTATTTTTATGGCTAGACTGCCTTCTAGTAGATATTGAAGACCACTTCTTTATTTGTTGACTGCTATAATTTAGAACATAGATGAAGTGTTTGTATTTTGAATAATATGTATGTATTCAATAACTTTGGAAATTGTATAATTAACTAAAATCTTTATAAAATAGAATTTAAAAAGCATTAAAGGAGACAACTTTAACAAGCTAGAAGATTAGAGCAAAGTAAGTAACTTATTTTAGGCTGTTTCCATTAATTTTCTATATATTATACCTAAAACCATTTCAAATCTGGTAGAGTATAGAAAGTTTTGAAAGCTTGACCTCAGAATAACGTATTCTTAACTAAAAATAAATCAAACAGGTTGCATGAACAAGATTTAAACAAGAGACTTGAAAAAGAGCTGGATATCATGACAGCAGACCACCTCAGAGAGAAAAATATCATGCGGGCAGATTTTAATAAGACTAACGAGCTACTCAAGGAAATAAATGCAGCTTTACAAGTGTCGTAAGTCATATTATATTAAAGAAAATTCATATGTGGGAAATAAACTGAGGAGACTGTCTAACCTCAGATTAGCTACTCTTTTAAATCTAATTGATACTTAAAAAAGAACACGTAAGTACTATATTACAGATGGTAATTGCAATGTGATATTTTCAGTAACAAGAAGGCAATTGAGTGATTATCAGCTGCCACAGCTACAGATCCACTAGGACGGTCCTTGCCGAAAGCCCGTGCCTCAGAATCATGAACTGTCAGGCCATGGTGAAAACTCTAAAGATGTCCATTATATAATGTTAAGTAAAAAGAGCATATTGGTGGCCATTAGGAATATTATCCTACCCATACACTAATAATACATGTTTTATATACAAATATCAAAAGAGCTTAAAAAACAAATACAAAATTTTAATGACAGGACTCCCCTCTAGGGAGTGGATTACAGGGTACTGGAGGTGGGGAAGAGTAAAATCTTCCTTTTTATTTTTTATACTCTACATAGATATTGTTCGAGTTCCTACAAACAAGCATTTAATTTTGATTTTAAAAAATTAATGAAAGTAAAACATCAGAAATAGTTACTACTCATATATAGTAACTCCAATATTGTTAAAAACCAAGATCTCTAATTATTGTTTAATGTTTTAAGGAAGTATTTAATAGCCCCTCTCTTTCCTACACACTTATAAACTGTTAGAGTCAATGTGCAAATAGCATTCACTCCCGTGTCTGAGGCCTAAACTCTAGTTCAACTTAAATTATCTCAGAATTAATCTATTCTAAGCTGCTGCTGCAAATGGTTTATTCACCTTTAGTCTCTCTTCTTCTAACCAATTAAAAAACCTGCATAAAAATATATAGATATCTCCACATACTTTAGTAAAGTCAAAATAGTGACTAATCCCATTAACCTTAGTCTCAGGTACACCTTACCTTCCTGTGTCAGCCACACCAACCTCAGTTTCCTTCTAAGATTCTCCTGTGTTTACAGTTTAGAGTAATCTCCTACTTTATTACTACCTGATTACCTTCCCCCAATCTAAAACTCATCTCACATTTTACCCATTTAACTAACTAAGCCTCATAGTAAATATTGTTACATATATGTAATATATATACCCACATTCACTCAAGCTGAAACAAAAACAGACACCCCCCCCCCCAGTGGTTGGCATTTACTTCAGCAGCTCCTGAGGTGAGGTACCCTCTCCTGGACACACACAGAATTTTCACATTAATAGGCACTCAAATGTTTCCTGAATGAATTTTTTTGAGGATTCCCTATAACATTTACCACTTCATGAAGTTACACTTGAAATGGTGAGGAGACTCATGAGATCATTTTCCCAGTCACAGTGATTTTTTAGTGTTTGCTGTTGTGGGAGGTAATTTTTAAATCCTTTTGAGCCACAGTAAGAGCTCATAATCATAGGCATTTTGCAAAAATTAGTTACAGTAAATTCTACTGTTTACTTTTCCTTTCCTTGGCCTCGCTGGACAGAGGCTGAAGTCCTGGCATCCCCCTCTTCACAGTCTGAAAAAACACGCTCACAAAAAGAATAACCTGTCTGTCCGTGTGTCCTGTCTCCTTAGGAATGTTAATTTACAAAGATTAAAGGCTCGTTTCTACTTTATTCTGTTTTATGTGGTTTTACACATTATGAATTTTCAGTAGATAAATTAGTTTTTTATATTATGCTAATTTTTAATGATGAATTAGTATTACTCATGAGTCAAATATTTTATCTGCTTTTCTAGATCTACCATTTGTTTTATACTAGGTTAGTATAGGTCCATGCTAACCAACTATATTTCTTTCTTCAACAGAAAACTACCACTATCATATAATTAGTCTCTAGCTTATTTATTCTTTTAGTTGAAACCAAACATACCTACAAATGTATTTAGACCAGCGCTGTCCAGTAGGTTTTCTGTGGTAATGAAAATGTCCTATATGTGCTCTGTCCAGTACAGTTGTTACCAGTCTCACAAAATGGCGGTTGAGCATTTGAATTGTGGTTAGTACAACCAAGGAGTTGAATTTTTAATTCAATTTTAATTAATTCAAATGTAAATAGCCACATATGGACTAGTGGCTACCATATTGGAAAGCACAGTTTTATACAACTGGATATTTCTGTTCTATCTCCTTAAATGCAGTGTGCTTGGATCTGCTGAACAGCTTAGATGTAGTCAGAGGTGGTGAGCAAGGAGAGTGCATTCCAGCTTAAGGAGCTGGGGGACATGTGAATTTTCTCTGCCTGTTGCAAAGGACCAAGGGCACCTTACTGAAGTTACTAACCAACTGCATGCTGACTTTAACTCTTTGAAATTGGAAAAACCTGGTGGATATCTAGAAGTGGGTGGTAGTGGGAGGCCTGGAGGAACATGGGTCAGGCTGAATCCTGGAGGGGAGGGACCTCTGGAGCTGCTGGAAGCTTCTTGCTTCTGTTCCCACCCCAAATCCTGTTTGGACACCAGGGAAGAGGGGACTAGAAATTTAAAGAACAGAAAATACCCTCTAAACATTGTAGAAATGGTAATGAGTTCTGTAGCTCTTATGGAATGATTACTAAAAAACCCCCTTTTCTAGTGCAGGGTACTAAAGTCTTAGATTTTTGGATATTCTATAGAAATGGTTTTATTTTTCTGAGTGATATAGTAGTAAAAACCTTGTGTCTAATATGTCACAGTTTTTGTTTGAGAAACAAATGAGAGAATGAACTGTTTTAAAGAACTTTAATCTAAATCTAAACATATGTAGAACCTGGGATCATTATAGATCTTTATTATGCAGAAAAGGGGGTTCAGAGATTATTATTGATTGTCTAAGTTTATATTAACTTCTCACTGTACTGAAACAAAAAGATAGTTTCTTCTTGGGGGAAGCATTGAGTTTTCTGTACAGGGCTGTTAAGTAGGTCAGTAATCCCTAATTGAAAAGAAACACTCCACCATGCCAGAATTACTTACTCTTTAAAAGTTGTTTGAGTTCTTTTATCTATAATACTCTGATCATTCTTTGTTGTTGTTTGATTTTTAAATTACCATTCTGGTTGTGTTCATAAGCTTTGTGAGGTAAGGAAAAAGTATTTCTGTTGTCATGCATCAGATCCGTGCCCATAAATTATGGGGAAAGAAAGGCTCAACATTAAACTTCTTCAATTATATATTTCTTAAACTCCATAGAGAGGATGGTATAATAGAGTTTATCCTTATACAATTAAGAGTCTAAAGCACATGTGTGCCGATACTGTTGTTTGGCCTAGAATCTCAATTTACTGACTTTGTCAATTATTTTTTTAAAACCCAGGAGAACTGCTACCTTGAAAACATTTTTACGCATTTTATACAGCTTTTTTAGGTATTCATATTTTTGGTTTGTGTTGTCCATGAACCCTAGACATTGACCTATATAGTCAGAGCCAAAAAAAAAAAACCAGGGCATGCATGCCTGGGGAGAATCCAACAGTGACCTAATTAGTAATTATATATGTTTTACTTCTGTTTTCTCTTAATGGAAATCCTATATTTTGAGTAAAAGACTATATAAACTTGTATGTTTCCCTCAACACAGTGTTTCCCAGGCTTTAATCTTTCAGAATTTGGTCATTTCTGGCTACCTTTGAAACTGTTTTCATATTTTTAATTGATTCACTGTAACTTAAAAATTTAACAGGAAGACTTGATTATTTCTGCAGTAAAACCATTATCACTACTGAAAAATTGTATCCATTTTTCTAAATAGAGGCCAGGCTATACTTATAAATATGTAAAGTCTGTGAAAATAAAACCGTGTTATGAGATTCTAGCTAGCTATTGCTACTGCAGGCCAGTCTGAGCCCGGTGAAATAGGGTCATAAGCTTATGTTGTGAAGGCCATTTAAGATACATAGGACCACACCAAGACTGTTTCCTTCTTGTGACGAGAAAGATTAAAGGAGAACAAAGTAAGATCATTCCTTGTACCACCAGTTGTTCACACACCTAGTCTTTGGGAAACTGTGCTGGCCTAGAGAACTGACGGGGCAGCTGAAGAAAGGGAGACTGTTGACCAGCGTTGGCTTGAAATGGATCAGAGTAATACCAGGTGTTTTTCCTGTTAGAATTTTGAAAGACTTAGTAATTCTGGAAGTATATTTGCAAGTTAAATCTAGATCATATTACCTGTTCTCTCCTTTAATGCTTTCCAATTTGTGTTTATATGAATTGTTTCTTCAATTTAATCAATTATTTTTTCCCTTTTTAATATCAAGGTATCTTTTTAAAGTTTTTTTGGTGATATTAATTGATAATAATTTTGTAGGTAAAGCATGTTTAAATGAAAACATACACTAGAATTGAGGCTCAGAGCGGAAAAAGGTGGTTCAGGGATTTTAAGTGATTGTTTTAGACTCACTTTAACTTATTGTACTAGAACAAAACAATAGAAATAATAGTTTTATTTTTTATTTTGTTTAATAATAGTTTTAAATAGGGCATTAAATTGAGTTTTTTAGCGACCATTTACTGCCAAGTATTCTTGTTCAGCTAGTTCAAAAGTCTTCTATTTTGCTTTTAATGATAAAGTACCACGGAGACATCTTGTGGCTACTCTGGTATTAAACCCAATGCCTTTTTCCTTGACTAGATCATTGTTTCTCAAGCTTTTTTTTTTTTGCGCATAAAATGCCGTATCATGACAAAATACAAGGTCCCTCTATGTGAGCCCAGTGAAGCACATTTTTTACTCAGTCTGCATCGTCACAAAAGAATAAAAGGGAGTGAAACTAACCTCAAACTGAATTGACAGAGTCCCCTCTGATCCTGAGACATTGACTTCCTAACCCCACACTTGTCTTTACCCACATATCTTCCTGAACCCTCCAGATTAGAACTTTAGGATGGGCTGAGTTAGTGGAGTTTTTTACTAAAATTCCTGAAGTACACAGAGATTCTTGTGATTCCTAGAAGATAGATGTTACTCGGTATTTGTTGAATAAATTTCTCTGTGCATCTTCATTCACCATGATTTTGAGCTTACATTCTACCCTTTTACTTTGAAAACAGTAAGTTTTTAAATTGCTGTAATTATGTAAAGTTTCTAAAACTGAAATTGTTTCTCCCCCACACTCCCAACTGAGCTGGCAGTTTCCATTTGCATCCTCTTCATTCTGCCCTGTCCTATATTTTTAGACTCTGCAGGGTCTATGGTGCCTCTGCTCATAAAAGGTGGCCTCTATTCTAGAGTCTTCAGTGGCATTCAGGCCTGTTGCCTTCTCATCTCATTTGGGGCAGAAGCAGCCTAGAAAATTATCTTATCTGATGAGCCTTTTTACAGTGTATATGTATTAGCTGATAATACAGAATTTTTAAATTGTGTTTCCCATAAACCAGGAAGGAATGATGTCATGTATGTGTCCTTTGTTTCCCTTTCCTCTGTATCTTTTCTTGTCCCTTTTCTATATGTTACCAAGCCTTATGTCATCCCACAGGAGTGTATTTTTGGTAAGTTCTCCTGATAGGGAGACAACAATTCCAGCATCAGACCTATATTTAGAGGTTAGTATTATTCATTATATCATTTCTTCTACAGAGCTTACCTCACCTCATCCCCACACACTGCTGAATGACTTACAATGAGTGAATTCTTCCAAAAGTAATCTGTAAAGTCTTTAATAACATCATCTACCCCCTTAGAGCCTTTAATAACACTAGAGCTATTTGAGGCAGTCATGTTATTATGCTGAAAAGTTTTAAGGAAAAAAAATTGGTTTTAAATTTTGTATGTGTTCAACTGGACTAATTTGAAAAATGTAGGTATTACAGAAGAATGTATCTGAGTCCTGTCAATGAACTAAAAGGTTTCTTGTTTTCAGACTAGAAGAAATAGAAGAAAAATATCTAATGAGAGAATCAAAACCAGAAGATATACAGATGATTACAGAATTAAAAGCCATGCTTACAGAAAGAGACCAAGTCATAAAGAAATTAATTGTAAGATTTTGGGGGGGGGATATAACCATGTTAGTTACCATGTTTGCCAATCAACAGTCTGTTGGTTAAGTATTAAGTCATGCTAAATGAAAATTGAAAGTATAAAATATGTGCATTGTGATTAAAAGTTTATTAAAATTGTTCATGAATAAGGGTAAGAAACAAATTTTTAAATTTGGTATTAGGTAAGGGGATTGTGCCTCTTTTCAGTATTTTTTTTAAAAGTCTTCAGTACTTATTTTTGTTTAATAATGTCATTGCCAACATATAGTTAATACGTTATTGAAGGTGTGTATTGTTCATGTAGAATTAGAATGGGATAGGAAAGAATCAACGCATGCATTAGGCTGCACTGTGTACTTCCAGTTAGTCATGTTAACTTACCCTGATCCAAAGAGATACTCATGGGAAAAGGGTTCCATTTTCTTAGGGTTCTAACTAAGAAAAGTTATAGGCTCTCTCTTAAGAGTCTTGGTCCAGACTGAGGTGTAAGGGTCTCTGAGCAGTCCATCAGGGAAGGAAATACAGTTTTAACAATAAAAAAACTGCCTTCATTAAAGCTATTATTCTATACGCAAATGTCTTAATTCATAAAACATTTTAGAGTCTTCCAAAATTATATATCCTGATCAATAATTAATTGTTTTTTATGGTCACAAAAAAAGAAAAATCTTTCAGAGTCAAAACTAAAAATAGAATGCTAATCACTCTATTGGTTCATTGATCTCTTCAACTGAAAACTATGGATGTTAGCATGCAAAGAGAGCCTAGAAGCATTTATTTCTGAAGTCCTTTTTCTTTAACCTCTCTTTGTTGGCATTTAGGAAAGTCATCCTGTTGGCTGGGACTACAAGTTCCTGCTAAAAGCAGGTTATAGATTGGGGTTCATTATGGAACCCAGGAGCAGACATTGGCAAGATTTTCCAGGCATTGTGAACATGAGCAGAGGCCTCATAGATTCCTCTGATTACCTTCTATTCCACACATGAAGTTAGCAAAGGAATTAAGTATATTTATTTCGTCTATGGTAGAAATAGCTTTTCCAGTTCTTAGCTAACAGATGTTAAAGACATAGTTGTATTTTATCCTCACAACAGGATAGGTATTAGACTTCAAAGAATAAAGCAAACACAAAGCAATATAGCTGGTTGCTAGGAATCCAGCTAAGGGTTGTTCTACACTCTTGCCACTGCATACCAATTCTGTGGGCTCTGAAGCACATGGGCTGAGACTGGTGCGAATAACAGTGGTATCTAAGAAGGGGATGAAGAATCTAGTTCTCCTCGAGCGCAGTCCTGCATTTCAGACTCATGTGTTTACTTCCTACAGTTTGTTCACTTGACACATGGTGGTGGTGAAGTGAAAGGCAAAGGATTTATCTGTATGTAGGTCACTTTTTCTTTGGTCAGTGATTAGCACTGCCGTAATACAGTTGACCCTTGAATAGTGCATGAGGCACCAACTCCCTGCACAGTCGAAAATCCGCATATAACTTGTCTCCCCGAAAACTGGATTACTAATAAACTACTGTTGTCCGGAAGCCTTACCGGTAACAAAGTCAATTAACACCTATTTTGTATATTATATACTGTATTCTGATAAGCTGGGGAGAAAAATGTTACTAAGAAAATCATAATGAAAAGAAAATAACATTTATAGTACTGTATTCATTAAAAAAATAAAAAAATCAGCATGTAAGTGGACCCATGCAGATCAAACCTGTGTTGTTCAAAAGTCACCTGAACACTGAGGTCTCAGAGAGGAGATTAGGCAAGATCAAATTTATTTCCATTACTGAAAAATAATGATGTATCAGTGTCACCTTTATAGATACAACATAACCATGCATACAACTCCATGAATGTAAGTTAAGCTGCTTGAACTGCACAGTCAGCCCTTTGGAATAGAGATGGGACCAAAGAAAACATTTCAATCCAGTCTTGGAGAAAAAAGTTATTAAAGGGTAGAGAAGAGCCCCAAAGCATAGGATTTTGAAAAGTTTTGAAAACCTTCCCACCAGCAGTCATTAAGACACTGGCAGTCAGATCTCAAAATCTTTGATGAACGAAGTATATAAGTCCTCACTCATGTTTTATAGTAAATTTTGAATGAAATGGCATTTAAACAGTTTTAAATTTTCAACAGAAAATGTCTAAGTGATGTTTATAATTCTTTTGCGTAGGAGGATAATAAGTTTTATCAGCTGGAATTAGTCAATCGAGAAACTAACTTCAACAAAGTGTTTAACTCAAGCCCTACTGTTGGTGTTATTAATCCATTGACTAAGGTATGTGCGGTAAACACTCTAAAATAGGGATGTAGTTTAAAACTTGCTTAAAGTTTTTAATATTTAGAGCAGCATAGGATAAACCTTCCAAATAGTGTTTTCTTAAATTTAATATTTAGGATTAAAATCTATGAATTCTTTATGTATACATTTTCACAGAATGAGACTAATATTTTTGTTGAGAATTCGTACTCCTAAAGACATTATTGTAAAACCTTGGTTTCTGTCATTTTGTTTTTCATATCTCCAAAGAAAACTAACATCATTTTCTTGGTGTTCACTATCCTCTATGGGGTCCTGAAAGGTACTCCAGCCCTGTATACACAACAGCTCTCCCTAACTTAAGGCCTGAGGCCTGCCATGTTAATGAACCTTGTTGCTTACCAGTCTTTGGAGAAGGGCTTGACTTCTCTCAGTCTTAGGACCTTTCTTGACACTTAAAATTGAAGATGGCCTATTCTGATACTTTGTTACTCTCTTAGGAGCTTAGAAGAGCCTTGTAGACAAGTGAAATGGACATGGCCAAGTCTTACACATCTTTGTACCCCAGCTTCCTATGGCTCCCCTCATAGTGCTTTGGGTATAGTAGGTATTCAGTTGCAAATCTCATCACATTTTCTGTAAGTGGCCACAAATAAGTGAATAAAGCATATAAGGAAGAATTAATTATGTATATTGGCTTCATAGGGATTACGTAGCTTTTGGCAGAAATCAGTAGTAGAAATAAAGTACTAGTGCGAAAGTTATTTTTTGATTCAGATTTAATTTGCCCATTATGCCTAATTTCTGTTAGGCCCTTAGCCAGAAATTTTTTCTTTCAATGCTCATAACTTTGTTAAGAACATGGACTCTACCTTTCCTTCACAAGTTAGAGTGCTTCAAACTTTAAGCCTTTAACATAGAATGACTTAAATGTTTTATGAAACAGAATGACTAAAGCAGGGATGCCTATAGCTCTATCTACAGAGCCTAAAATACTGCCTGGCACATCGAAGGCTCTCATAATTGGTGAATTAATTAATATAGTTTTAGTTTTTAAGTTCATAATTTAAGGTGAAATACAACAAAGCAAGATTATGAGACTTGTTGAAACAATAAAATGAGAATATTTCTAATATATTTTTTGGAATTACATTTTTAGGTACAAAATGGTTACTGTAGAACTTTACCAATGATACTTTTGATCTCTTCAAATAGAAACCTATAGTAGGTTTATTTATGCCCTCTGGTGACTAGAATAAGAAAATGCAAAAGATACATCTTTGTTCACTTTTGAGTGATTTCAGCTTTAATAGTTGTGATTCTAGAAGACATTATTATTCTTCCTCTTTTCAGTTATGCAAAGTAGACTCTGTCAGAGACTCCATGATTCACAGAATATGACAGAGGAGGGCAAGGTCTAGATAGTAAGATCATTACTTTGTAAATAAAGGAAAAAGGCCAATTAGGCTGGTTTTTTTTTAAACACTTGAATCATTTTGCAGAAAAATATTTCATAAATTCAATTAGCACAGATTTAACTTGTAAAAAGATGGTGTCAAAAATATCTTGCAAAATGTTAAATTTTACTGTGTACAGCAAGATGATGCTCATTGATTCTAGAGGTGTGAATAAAATAGATTTGCAAGCTGATAGGTTTTGATAATCTGAAGGTGTTCCTCTTCCTGTTAATTTTAAAGACAACTAAAAAATTTAATAAATGGATCACTTTGTTTTATAACCTTTTAATGTTTTTAAAAGATTATGAGCCAATTATTGATACCACCAATTGGGAAATGAGACTTAATTATGCAGATTTAATTTTCTCTCTTCAAAAAGTGCAGTGAATTTAAAACCAGTTACTCGAGTCAGCTTTAGGTCTTAAGTAGGAATGTGGGATATGTTTCAAACTACTTTGCCAAGCATTTTGCCATTCCCATTTTTTTTTTTTCCAGGCAAGGACTGCCTCCCTTTGATGGAAGGCTAAAGTTCATGGACCTCCCTTTTAAAACTGTTTAACTTTATAACCTTCTCCTAATTTTAGCCCAACTCTGTTTAACCTCGTGGCATCTGCAAGATCTCCTCCTCCCTTTCCCCCCGTAGTCTTTACCCTTTGACATTCTTTCCATCTCCTCCCCTCCCCATGAACACCAATTCGTGTTTCTTCCTCATTCTTTCTGGCCCAGCAGCATGTCTGTCCCTAAGGATTCCATGTAGGTAAAGAACACCTCCAAGGATCCCCAGACCACACTTTGGGTAACACTGGTTCATTTTAACATCCTAATTTAACATAAAGCTTCCAAAATCTTCCCATGCCAAATTTATATCTTCTACTCTTCCTATATTCTCATTTGTCCTTATGCAGGGACTATCCTTACATGTATTATTTTTAATGCAGCAAAAGAAGAAGAATGATAAGTCACCAACAAACAGGTTTGTGAGTGTTCCCAATCTCAGTGCTCTGGAATCTGGTGGAGTGGGCAATGGACATCCTAACCGCCTGGACCCCATTCCTAATTCTCCAGTCCACGATGTTGAGTTCAACAGCAGCAAACCACTTCCTCAGCCAGTGCCACCTAAAGAGCCCAAGACATTTTTGAGGTGAGCCCCGTCTCACCAGTGATTTTTTTTCTTTTCCTTTTTAACTTGAAAAATTTACCTTCTTACATTGCAGAAATTCACTACTTTAAGACCAGTCTAGGAAAAGAAATATTACTGTGAAAGATTTTCACAATATATTTATCACTTCTCTAGAGAACTCCTTTTTGGCTCTTAAGATTTTTTTCTAATTTCTTGCCAATTTTTCTATATGCTGAAAGAGGTGCTAATGTAATTTGTATGCTTAGAATTTTAATATTTATGGATATTTGCTTCATTTTGAGTATTGTAGCAAATTTTTCCCTAATAATCCATCTTTATTACAGAACTTTAAAATTTTTTTTCTTATATTTTCTTTTTCACTTTCTTGCTTACCAGGCTTATTTACAAATATATATGCTTACTGCCAAAATAAAAAATATGTAAGCTTTGGGAATTTAATGATACACAAAAGCAAAAAGTAAATTTAGGAAAAAAATTTTACAACTGATACTCCAATTTGAAGTTAACCTCAGACTTGATTAAATGTATTAACAAGGAGAATTTAAATGAAACCCAATTGTTTATCCATTAAATAACGTCAGAAAGTATTGTTGTTTAGGTTTACCTTACTGAGTCTATGCTGCTTTAAATTTATTTTTTTAACTTATTCCTAAATCTCAGCAGTGTCACTAGTAATAGTCTTACAGGTAGACGACCTTTTTCTAGGGTAAGTGATGACATAAAGACTATTTTAAATAGAAAAAAGTAGCAAGAATAAAAATAGTCACATACACTTTTGAATGTGCCTCCTGCTAAATATTTTGTGTTGCTTATTTTCCCTTGTGCATGGGTATGTTCAGGTATCAGTAAGATGCATGTGCATGAGCTCAAGGAACTTGACTACTGGAGTTTCCATTACACATTGTTGCGTGCCTTGTAATTTCCCCCAAAGAAAGACGGTAGGGATTCTTTTATTTTCTCAACTAGCCCAAAGAATTGTTAGTTAGAATTAAGTATAAATGATATAACTTTGAAGATGGAGGGGAAATGGGCTTCTTAATTGTATTTCTTTCCCCCTAGACTATTTGTTTATGGAATTATGAAAGTTTAATATGAATATACATGTCATAAAAATACTATGCCATGGCTTAGTTACTTAGCTATATTTGAGGACACATCTGTAAAAATCAAATGCTTGTGTCAGATTCTGAAATGTTAAGTAAAAAGGTGCTGAAAAAGAGGAATGTTATCTTGTTCTCATTTCTGACAATTCCTCCCGAATTTTTTTATTCAAAGGTGACATTTTTCTCAGCTGTCTGATTTTTGTCTTTTTGTAATTTTTTGTAATTGTTTTGATGTGGCTCCTCCTTAACTGACTTCATCTGAGCTGCTGATGCACTCTCGTGCTCTCATGGAGTGGAGAAACCAATCTAGTGTAGAGGGATCTACAAAACACATCTAACACAGAACCAGTTGTGGTCATCTACACTGATGTTTTTTGTGCTTTTCTCTTCGTTTTGCAAAACAGCTTAATGCTGGGTTACATGTCTCTCTTTTTTTATGAATTCAGTCCTCCTCAGAGTGAAGCTTCCCCGGTGGCTTCTCCAGATCCCCAGCGCCAGGAGTGGTTTGCCCGGTACTTCACATTCTGAAAGAATTATGTTGGCAACAGCTAGCTCTGTGTGGACTAAGAGCATGACCTTATACAGACCATTATGTGAACAGGCTTTCCTAGGTCAGACACTGTGAACGAGAAAGTATTTGTCTCTCCAATTTGAAAATACACTATTTCCTGTGATATTTATTGGAATCACTCTACTATATTATGTGTGTAATTATAACAGTTATTTTTATTTGAGATGGAAGAGTCTTTAACCTTTGTAATTACTGCATAATAAATTTTGTTAGAACAAACAGTGCTTTTCATTTTTTTCTAGTAAGCTTGTTAGACTTTTTAAATATTTTTTAATTCTAAATAAGACTTACGGAAAGGGTGTTTTCTAAGAAGTTTTACTGCATAATAAAATATCAAATTATTTGACTTTAATAATCATAACAAAATCAGGATAAATACATTATAACCTACTAATTTGTTCCATCACCATGTATAACTATAAACTGTGTTCTCTAAATTTATAAGACTATAATGAAAACACTCATGGAAATGATAAACTTTCAGCTATAAAAGTACTGCTGATTTATAGTGTATTTTATTATTCTGATAGTTGAGGATCTAGAACGTCTAATATAGTTAGTATCTATGATTAATATGATTTATGGCCAAAAGTTATTTGGTAAAGAGACAGTTAGTGGGTGATGGGTATTAAGGAGGGCACCATAAAGCACAGGGTGTTATATGCAACTGATGAATCACTAAACTTTACCTCTGAAACTAATGCACTATATGTTAATTAAATCTAAATTAAAATTTAGAAAAAAAGTTTATTACTGATATATCAACTCAACCAGTTAGTGTTCAACAACTAGAGTGCCAAATTTAGTTGCCTAAGCAATGTAGATTTTAGAAGAATCTGGGGGAACAAGATGAATACAAATACCTGATCTATGAATGATTGTACCAACAATAAAGACCGGGTTTTTTAGTGGTTACTATGTGTAACTGTGCTGAGGGGCATTAGAAAGATTATTTAATCTTCACGAAACAAACCATTGTATATGCGTTTGCACAGTTGGCATGTTCTTTTTCTTTTTCTTAAGATTTTATTTATTTATTTGACAGAGAGAGAGAGAGAAAACACAAGCAGGGGGAGCGGGAGAGGGAGAAGCAGGCCTCCCGCCGAGCAGGGAGCCCGATGCGGGGCTCGATCCCAGGACCCTGAGATCATGACCTGAGCCGAAGGCAGACGCCCAATGACTGAGCCACCCAGGTGCCCCAGTTGGCATGTTCTTTTAAGTTATCCTGGGGAAAAAAAAGTTTACATTTGACAAAGAGAGAGAGAGAGCACAAGCAGGGGGAGTGGCAGGCAGAGGCAGAGGGAGACACAGGCTCCCTGCAGAGCAGGGGGAGCCCGATGTGGAACTCGATCCCAGGACCCCGGGATCATGACCTGAGCTGAAGGCAGTCGCTTAACCAACCGAGCCACCCAGGCGCCCCGGTACCCAATTATAATTTTGAAAGATGGGTAGGAATTAACCAGACCAGGGACAGGGCTGTTTGAGGCACAAACTGGAACAAGTATCAAGAAAGAACAGGCCAGGGCGCCTGGGTGGCTCAGTTGGTTAAGCGACTGCCTTCGGCTCGGGTCATGATCCTGGAGTCCCGGGATCGAGTCCCACATTGGGCTTCCTGCTCAGCACGGAGTCTGCTTCTCCCTCTGACCCTCTTCCCTCTCATGCTTTCTGTCATTCTCTCTGTCATTCTCTCTCTCTCTCTCTCTCTCTCTCTCTCTCAAATAAATAAATAAATAAATAAATAAATAAATCTTAAAAAAAAAAAAAAAAGAACAGGCCAGGGGTGCCTGGGTGGCTCAGTCATTGGGCGTCTGCCTTCCCCTCAGGTCATGATCCCAGGGTTCTGGGATCGAGCCCCACATCGGGCTCCCTGCTCGGCGGGAGGCCTGCTTCTCCCTCTCCCACTCCCCTGCTTGTGTTCCCTCTCTCCCTGTCTCTCTCTCTGTCAAAAAAATAAAATCTTAAAAAAAAAAAACACAAAACAGGCCAGCTACATCTACTAAATTAAGTGCAATCCTATGGGATCAATGTGTAGGGCTAAAGAATATGGCATGAGACAGCAACCATTCCTTGAGCACCTAGCTTTTAGAATTTAACATTTTTAACTCATTAACAACTCAGATGAAGAATACAAATGTACAAGTAGTAAAGGTTAAAACCTATGCTCTGTTATGCTACAAAGGGCCTGAAATGCTTAGTAAGGAATTCAACTTGATCCTGTAGAATTTTGAGCAAGTAATAGCATGATTAGATTTAAAATTTTTAAATCACCATACTGGCTGGAAAAAAAACAAAGACCTACTTATATGCTGCCTATAAGAGACTCACTTTAGACCTAAAGACACATATAGACATTGAAAGTGAAAGGATGGAAAAAGATATTCCATGCAAATGGAAGAAACAACAACACAAAACAGACCAGGGTAGCAATACATATATCAGACAATATGTTTTAAATATTAAAACAAAGACTATGAGATAATAAAAAAAGGACATTACATAATGATACTCCAACAAAACATAGAATAACTGTAAATATCTATGCAGCCAACATTGGAGCCTTTAAACCATAAAGTAAATATTAACAGACATAAAGGGATGAAACTGAAAGTATTACAATTATAGTAGGGGAATTTAACACCCCACTCATATTAATAAATAGATCAGGCAGAAAATCAATAAGGAAACAGTGCCTTTGAATGACACATTAGACAAGATGGACGTATCAGATACTTACAGAATATTCCATTCAAAAACATCAGAATACACATCCTTTTCAAGTGTGCTTGGAACATTCTCCAGGACAGATCACATGTTAGACCATAAAACAAATCACATAAATTTAAGAGTAGAATCATATCATGCACCTTTTCTGGCCACAACAGTATGGAACTAGAAATCAATCACAAGAAAAAAAAAAAAACTAGAAAAAAAAATACCACAAACACATGGATGCTAAATAACATGGTATGAAAAACCAATGGATCAATAAAGAAACCCAAAGAGGAAATCAAAAAATACATAGGGACAAATGAAGATACAATGGTCCAAAATCTTTGGGATGCAGCAAAAGCAGTTCCAAAAGGGAAATTTAGAGCGATACAGGCTTAAATGAAAAAAAAAATTTGTCAAACAATCTAAACTTATACCTAAAGGAACTAGAAAAAGAAAAAGAAAAAAAAGCCCAAGGTTAGAAGGAAGGAAATAATAAAAACCACAGCACAAATAAATGAAATAGACACACACACTCCCACATACCCACAACAGAAAAGATCAATGAAACCAAAAGCTGGTTCTCTGAAAAAAACAAAACTGATAAATCTTTAGCCAGATTCCTCAAGAAAAAAAGAACACAAATCCAGTAAGAAACAAAAAAAGAGAAAGAACTGACACCACAGAAATACAAAGAGTAGTAAGCAAATAATGTAAAAAATTCTATGCCAACAAATTAGACAACCTAGGAGAAATGAATTCCTGGAAACACACAATCTTTCAAAACTTAACCAGGAATAAATAATAAATCTGAACAGATCAATTACTAGTAACAAAATTGACTCAGTACCAAAAAATTCCCAACAAACAAAAGGCCAGGATCAGACAGCTTCACAGGTGAATTCTACCAAACATTTAAAAAATGTTTGGTCCTACTACAAAAACTAGAAAAAGAAGAAAAGCTTCCAAATACATTGTACAAAGCCAGCATTACCCTGATACCAAAACCAGACAAAGACACTACCAAAAAAAAGGAAAATACAGGCCAATATCCCTGATGAACATAGATGCAAAAATCCTCAACAAAATTTGAGCAAACCAAATTCAACAATACATTAAAAAAAAAAATCATACACCATGATTAAGTGGGATTTATTCCAGGAATGTAAGGGTAGTTCAACATTAGCAAATCATGGGGCACCTGGGTGGCTCAGTTGGTTAAGCGTCTGCCTTTGGCTCAGGTCATGATCCCAGGGTCCCGGGATCGAGCCCCATGTTGCTTCTCCCTCTCCCTCTGCCTGCCACTCCCCCTGCTGTGTTCTCTCTCTGTCAAATAAATAAGTAGAATCTTAAAAAAAAAAAAAAAAAATTAGCAAACCAATCAACATGATATACTGCATTAACAAAGCAAATAGATGCAGAAAAAGCATTTGACAAAGTACAACATCCATTCATAACAACACCCCTCAAGAAAGTAGGTTTAGAGGGAACATACCCCAACATAATAAAGGCCATATATGAAAAACCCACAGTTAACATATTCATCATATAAGACAAGGATGTCCACTTTTGCCACATTTACTAATATAGTATTAGGAGTCCTAGCCACAGCAATCAAACAAGTAATAAAAGGCATCCAAATTGATAAATAAAATTCACCATTTGCACATGACATGATGTTATATATAGAAAATTCTAAAGACCCCCCAAAAAGTTAGAATAATTGAATTCAGCAAATTTGCAGGATAGAAAAATCAATACAAAGAAATCAGTTGTGTTTCTACACACTTATAAGTAGCAGAAACAGAATTTTTTAAAAATCCCATTTACAATAGCAACCAAAAGAATAAAATAGGGGTGCCTGGCTGGCTCAGTTGGTAGATCATGTGACCCTTGATCTTGGGGTTGGGGGTGAGCCCCATGTTGGGTATAGAGATTACTTAAAAAAAAAAAAAAAGAATAAAATACCTAGGAATAAACTTAACCAAAGAGGTGAAACAACTCTGTAAAAAGAAATTGAAGACAACACAAATAAATGGAAAGATATTCCATGTTCATGAATTAGAAGAATATTGTTTAAATGTCTATACTACCAAAAGCAATTACAGATTTAATGCAAGCCCTATCAAAATAGCAACAGCACTTTTCATAGACCTCGAACATATAATACTAAAATTTGTATGGAATCACAAAAGACCCCAAATAGGCAAAGCAATCTTGGAAAAAGAACAAGAAAGGTAGAGGTATCACAATCCCACACTTCAAGATAAACTCCAAAGCTGTAGTAATCTAAACAGTATGGTACCGGCACGGAAACAGACACATAGATCAATGGAACAGACTAGAGAGCCCAGAAATAAATCCATGCGCTATGATCAATTAATCTGACAAAGGAGGCAAGAATATACAATGGGGAAAAGATAGCTTCTTCAATAAATGGTGCTGGGGAAACTGGACAGCTACATACATACAAAAGAATGAAACTGCACCACTTTTTTACACCATATACAAA